GGAGAGGTGCTGGTGCTCCTGGGACTATATCCCATTGGAAGGGAAGTTTCGGTGGTGGAATGTTGGGGGGAGGGAAGAGGGCTGGTGGAATGTGGGAAAGGGAGAGAATGTTCCATAAAAATTTAAGGATAGCTTTATGACTCTGGGAGAAAGATATGGATATCTGTGAATAATGGCAGATACCTTGCTCCCTGTGCCCTCCTCTATCCAGTGCTCAGTACTTCCTCTCGAAACGCACAATGGTGTTCTCTAATAGGCCAGCAAGTCTGTTAACATCAGCATGTCAGTGACTAGCTTTGCTCCACTTTTGAGTCTGTGTTCAGACTGAACTCTGTCACAGGGTATCTAGAAATTAGTTAAACGAAAGCCAGGAGACCATATGAGGGAGATGGGAACAGAGGGCTGCAGTAATAGACTTCGATGAAGAAAGGTAGCAGAAGGCTGAAATGCCAACGTGGACTTTTTTTGTTTTGACGAAAAAGCCTATGTAATATAATTGTTGTATGCAACACTGGAAGACTACATGATAGTATAGATGAAATGCAGATGCCCTATCCTTGTAATGTCATTGCTTTGATCTAAACAATTAGTATGTCCTTTATAAAGTTATAAAAAATTGAGTAGAAAGGTGATTTTAATAACTGTGCGAGGATATAACCTCCTGTGCAATTTAGCCCATCATGACAGTCATTGTTGGTTTTACAGAAGGGCGACCTGCTGCAACCTCACTTCACTGCTGTTCCCCTGAACTTGATTTAAATCATTTTTTTTAATTGGTAAATAAATTTGCATTCAACATAGGTGAGATTTGCAGAGAACTTGGAGAAAACTGTTGATTTGTTTGAAGGTTGGTATTTGGAATGGAGGGCCTCGATAAAGGATGAAGTCGGAGGTTAAAGTAGGCTAACATGAGAATAAAAACAGAAAATGCTGGGTCAATTTTAAAGGTTTTGAAGAACATTAGAAATAAGTATGTTCTACAAAACTTGTTTTTTGAAACATCTGTGCCCACAATATTAACTGCTGCTATCTCCACAGATGATGACTGATTGGGGAAGGTTTCACATTTGGTTTTTATGTCAGATTTCTGGTAGCAAAAACACTATGCACCTTATAGTTTAAAATGACGTGCTTAAGGTTAGCAGAAGGCATGCATTTGAAAATGGGCATTCCAATGATCATTCTTATTTTTAAAATATGCTGATGCTTTTAAAACCTACTCTTTCAGCATGTAGTGATATTAAAATGAACTTCAATCCCCTAATGCTCAGATATGAATTCTCCGATATGAGTCAGTTGTGGCTTTTTGAGTATCCTTGTTTTTAATTGCTGTGACATCAGTGGACTTGCCTAAGCTCTAAACTGTGGGATATCTTCCCTTAAGCTCCTCTACTTCCGTTTTCTTCTTTAAGGCACTCCTGAAAGCCTAGTGTTTCACCAAGTTTTTGGCCATTAACCCTAAAAGTCTTTGATACAGCTCAATATTGCATTTGGCTTTAACAACACCATCTTGTGAAGTGCCTTACATTATGTTAAAGGTGTGATCCACATATGTATGCACACAAATAGACTAGTTATTTATGTACTTTGCACGATGTTTTGATTGTGCAAGGAAATCCACATTCTTCTTCGCATGGAAGGTGCTTAACAGCTTTGGTAATCTTTTTCCTATTTTACTGGAACTGTGAAATAAAAATGGCTTTAAATTTTTTTCCGTACAACATTAACCTAATTGCTTTCCAACAACATATGGGGTAATGTCACTTCTCTTCACGATAACTTATCAGCATTACTGCATAACGTAATTAAATAGGTTTAGTGGGAAGTGATCTGTATCATTAGAGAAATCCTTGAAAAATCCATGTCCGAGTTTTGTTCTATTCTGAATTTCTAAGTGACATCAGTTTGAATAAGAATTGACGTATCCTAACTTTGACATTGATTGCAACGGAGTTAAATCAGAACTTTCAGTCTTCATTGTTTATGAAATGTCAACAGATTTCTTAACCAGTGTAACATGTTACAGGACAAACCAGATAATTTGGTTGTTCTTTGTGCAAGATGTGGTTTAATTATTTTAAAAGGATTCAACATCAAATATAGTAGTTGAGGTTGATGTTTAATACATTCAAATGAGTTGAGCAATTTTAATTAAAAAGGTCATAGCTTGGACGGTGACATTGAGCAGCTCAGGGCGATTAAATTCTCTTAAACTGCAAATTTCTTTTCATGTTCTGTTTTGTATTTGCCTTCCGGTTATTTCAATTAAATGAACTGCAGTTTCATAGCACACACTTTAATTTGACATTTATTAGGTTTGTGATAATCTTTGAAGGTTATTGTTGGTAGGAGGTTCAGTTGAGAGAGAAAGCATCAGAGTAGAGCTCAGTCATACCAATGTGCTCACGTATACTTGAGCTCCTGGATAAGGATCAAGTTCAGATCTGATCCTTCACTCAACTTAGCCATTAGGTCAAGTAGTTGCATCCCAACTAAGCTCAAGTAACTCTGCATGAGTTGGTCGCTTAACTTGATCAATTTGTTTGATCTAGTCATTCACGTATTTACCGAACTATTGTGAAAGTAAAATAGTTAGATGCAGTAATACTAATGGTTACGTCTTATTCTATGTAGTCACTCCTATTCCTGTAAGAAATAGGATGAACATTGTGTGTTCTTCAGTGTATTGTTGATGTGTGCAACACAATGTTTTGCACCAGGCCAATGACAAAGCCCTGTCATTTTCCCTCAAAACAGTAGTAAATTAGTACAGATGCTGGAGATCTGTAATAAATGCAGTGTTGGAGAAACTGAGCAGGTTTGACGTACTTGAGGTAAACAAAACAAGTTGACATTTTGATCCAGTGTCTCCTCTTGAGAATTGTAAAAATCTGTGAAATTGTTTATATGCCATTGAGAAAAGGGAAGGAGGAGCAAAGAGAACAGATGGTGAGGATGACCAGAGCACAAGGTGTGATATAGATACAAAATAGGTATTAATGCTAAGTGTGTATAATTGAAAATATTCTTTGTGAGTGAACCTATGCAAAAAAGATACTAGGGGAGTCGATCAAAACAGAGAACAGTGTTCAAGTTCTGAAGTTGTTGAATTCAGTGTTCAGTTCTGAAGGTTGTAAAGTACCTAAGTGCAAAATTAGGTACTATTCCTCCAGCTTGGATTGCAACTTTTTTTTCCAGCCACGTTCTGTTTCAAAGAAAAGTCATATTGGACTTGAAATATCTGCACTGCAGCACAATATCATGGCCATCCAGACCCATCACCATTGTGTGAATCAGTATTTGCTGAAAATTGAGTTCACTTTCATCAGCACCATGTATGCCCAAATTGTTGCCATGGGATCCATGCTACACCTTTTGTGTGGATTCCATGAGAAATAGGTCTGTGGGATGACTCCCAGCCTTCTCCATATAGCATATTTTCAATTAATAGATGATACATTTGTTACATGAAGCTGGCTTTTTCATGTTGCTACGACGCAGCAGCAACATGAGTGGTGTGCAACCTTAAGAGGATAGTGCTCTCCACCCAAAAAATGTTGTGCCCAACATACAAATGAGTCATGTGGCATATGAATTGCAGTGCTGGTGTGATGCTAGGTTTATAGACCATACATACTAGAAGGCTAGAAGATCACATCAAAACAACATATAACTTCAGCTGTTTGCAGCAAGTAGGATACTGACCATACTCAAGCAGCCCATGCTTGTAAAACGCTCAATGCAGTGTTCAACAGTGGTTGTGATTTTGTAATTGGACAGCATTTTCTAGATAATCTTGAGTGTGCGAATAATTATGCTGACAACTAGTTTGGGATTGTCAGTCAGGCCCACAGTGTGGTGCACTTGCAAGTACTGGAAGCTGGAATTAATACACTGGGCCCTGCTTCTCTGCATACAGAAGAAACGTGCACAAGCATGTTTGAATGCAACAAAATAGACGACAGCAATTCTCTGGTTCATTTCTGAGAGCAATGTCTTGACCAATGTGATTCAACCTGCTCTTTTTTTTAAAAGTTAAAGAAATCTGGGCAGTTATTTGACTATTGTCGTTAACTTTTGCGTTCTCTATGCCAACACCTTTACCAGTCAAAGTCTAGTGTAAGTTTATTATTTTTCCCTTACTTTGACATTCTTGCAATTCATTCTGATAAGTGCAAGATAAAAAAGTTCAACAGGATGTATTTTTCCAGAAGTATTTCTGGTTTAGTAATATCCCCTTGTGAGAACCTTTGAGAACCTAAAAATTTGTTAGCAAAAACTAATGTCATGAATCACCTTTGCTTGATTTTAACATCATTCAGGTTATTAATCTTTATGATGTGAAAGTTGCCACATAAATTCATTAGTTTTCCTATTGAGTGACAGAGGCCCCGAGGTAGTTCATGGAACAAATCACTGTTTTCTGGTGAAACTAATTCTTTTTTCTTATTCTCTCTTTAATGCCCTTTTAGTTAATAGGTTGCCTAACCATTTGTAATATTTGCGTTGATCTTGAGTTTTCATTTTAAAGATGAGTCCTGCTAAAAGTGTTCCTAAATATCTTATACAAGTAATCATATAATATTCATTGCATTATCAAATTATCAAGTTAAAAAATATTCTTGGGGAATTCTATTATATTGATGCATTTAATGCTCAAATGTGCTGTGTGAAAGTTGGTTATTATGACAAGAATTAAGATTTCAAAAATTAAAGGAAATGAGAAATCTGTTTGCTAATATCCTGTCTGTTTTAGAGCAGATATTGTTTGCATTCGAAGTGTTACAGAAATGTGAGGATTTCCATTAAAGATATTTTTAAACAACATTCAGATATGTTATCCTACACCTTTTTAGAGCAGGTGGGATTTGAACCCAGGCCCTCTATCTTAGAGTCAGGGACATTGGCACTGTGCCTCAAGAGCTGCCAGGATTTCCTCTTTATCTCCATTTATGAGCTCCATGTCCCAAAGCACTTTTTAAGTGATAGGTACAAGACTCTCAGGATTCAAATTATTTACTGGGGTCCTACAAACAGCAATAAGAGTAATCACAATTTTTTTTTTTGTTTGTTAATGCTAAGTGTTGTCCAGCACATGAGCTCCCCTGACCCCAAATATTCATATTCACTTCAGAAGTTGGTTCAACATCCTGTTTGAAAGACAACATGTTCCAGCACTGAAACACCTTTTCATTCTTGCAGCGATGTGTCATCCAAGATTCTGCTCATCCCTGGAGAAGAACCGTAAATCATTTTCTGACACACAAATGAAAATGCTACCACTGAGCATGAGTTGAGATGCATGGCAGAGACTTGTATATTTTCATCAAGCCAGAAATTTGACCTTTAAGAAAAAAAAATCAGTGATGAATAGAATTTTGTATTGTTTTCTTTTACAACCGTGAAAGCCTTGTTCTGAATATACTTACTGCAAAATAATTGCAATAAGATCCCTACCTATGAATTCCAGATTATACGTTGTTAAACTCAACAGTAACAAAACTAATACAAAGACAAGGTTTGCTCAAGTGTGACATATCAAACTAAAATCCCCATATGTACTCGTTCTATTTAAGGTCCTGTCTTTCATTTGTCTTTACTTCAGTTTTCTAACATTTTAATACTTCATATCTTTAAAAAGCCAACTTCTAAAGTATCTAATAGCATAAATTACAAAAACAAGGTTTTATTGGCTAAACCAGCTTAAAAAGCTGGTTGCTTTCTGAAAAAAAGCTGGTGCAATGGTGATTGACACTATTATTCTTTTCAAGAGGAAGCAGCTGATAAGATACCTTAACTAGCCTACGTCGTATTAACAATAGTTCTCTATAAAGTTTTAATTGGTTGTTCAGTGGTAAAATTCTTACTTGGTATGATTCCTGAAGAGTCTTTTGGTGCAGCGATAATGTCCCTGCCTCTGGGCCAGAGGTCTGGATTCAAGTCTCACCTGCCCCAGCGGTGTGTCATAACATATCTGATCATGTTAATTAAAATAACTATAACAAGTTCTTACCACCATGGTTGTGTACTAGTTAGTGCTTTGCATTGAAGCTGCTGTGGTCTATATTCAAATCCAAGTCACAACAGAGTTTGTGGATGCGTCAAGAAGTATAAAGCTTTCTTGGATTTTCTTATTTCAATAACCTTCTTGCACCTAACATTCTGTTCCCAATTGCTGAGCAACAGTTTTGGATATTTTTCTGGACATAGTCAAAATAGTAGCACTTGTTCATTTTTAAATTGGCTAAATTTGAAGGGAGTGCATTTTGTAAAAAGGTTTGAGAGAATGCCTGCCAAAGAATTTTTCTGAATTGTTGTGTTTGGGATTTGGAAGGACTGTCCAATTGCAGAAATGAAATGCTTTACTAAATGTCTGATTCTGTGTTTCTTGTAGATACACTGGACTAAATTAAAGACTCACCCTATCTGCCTGGTAAGTTTTATTTTTCTTCGTTAAATATGCACAAAACTAGTTGTGATCTAATTTCTCGCAGAACAGAAGAAATAGAGACATTGAAACCAGTTTCAGAATTTGGCCTCTGAGCCTGCTCCAACATGACACCAATCTTCTACCTCAGTAGTAACCTTAAGTCCTCTGATTCTCTAGAACTCAGAAATCTGTCAATTTCTGACTGGTCTGTAAACTCTCATCCTAGATCTCCCAGCCAAGGAAATCATGCTTCTAGCAACTACTTTTATTACACCGGTATTGAATTTTACATGTTTCGATGAGACCACGCTCATTCTTTTAAACTCCCGACAGTTTTAGATTCACTCAATTCAATATCTCCTTGAACTCCAATCCAGTTAGCCCAGGGATGAGTCTGTTGAGACTTTGTTGCACTCCCTCTAAGTAAGGCACTTCTTTCCAGAGCTAATGAGACATATGGATGATGTGGTCTGTGAAGCTCTTCGAGCATTACACATGGGGTCCCTATACCTGCTCGACTTGCAGTCTCACACTCTACCAGTACTGTTCACTAACCAGGCCTTTTTAAATATCTGAATGTGTGGATTAGAAGTGCAGGTAAGCTATTCAGTCTCTTGAGTCTGCACCACTTTTCCGTAAGATCATGGCTGATTTGTTTTAGTTTTGAATTTCATCTTGTAATCTACTGTTGATAATCTCAGATTTTTGTTGGGCAAAGTAATCAAAGACTCTGCCTCCACTTGCTTCAGGGGCGACGAGTTCCAAAGTTAAACAACCCTCAAAAAAAAAATTGTCTCTCTTCTAAAATGGTGACTGCTAGTTGTAAAACTGTGTTCCTTAGTTCTAGAGTCATCCATAAGGGGAAAACATCCTTTTATTATGGAGAAGAGTTCGAACCCCTCTGACAGTTAAACTGAAACACAAGCCTCCGATCTGTTATGGCAGGATTAGAGGTTCCCTTCTCATAATTAAACCCAAAACACCCAGAGAAGCTCCCCTCCCTTTTATAACCTGTTTAAAAAGAGTGGTTAAATGAAAGAAAATCCCTGGTATTCACTTTATAAGTAACAAGTAACAATTTACTTATTTAACCCTAACAACAGTGAACAAATTAACAGAATTACAAACAAACTGAACAATTCCCCCTTAACTACTAACTACTCCCTGACTGAACTAAATTCTACTGGTATGCTGTTCCAATAAACACGTCCCACTTGTATTAACCCAAGTAATAAGAAAATAAATTAAAACTTACTCTCTCAAAGTCTACGCGCCTCTCTTCTGTTCTCAAGTCATAAACGCCTTTCTTCCGCTGATCCGGCTGTCAGGGATGTTTTCTCTGTGAAGTCTTCTGTGAGGACTCTTAGTTAGAAGTGCAGTCGTACCTTTTATGGATAGATGATGCTTTCTTAGAGATTAGTGATTTCTTGTGAGAGCTAGATGCTTATTTCTCAGATGGTGGTTCGTTCTCACCCTGATTCTCAAAAACCCTCTCCTTATATACCTTGGATGACATGTCAATTTTCTTAACTAGCTCTGTTTCTCTCTCCACAGATATTACCTGAATTGCAGAGTTTCTTCCAGAATTTTGTGTATTTATAATGTTTGTGAAATGATTGGACTTTTACGACAATCTAACTACTTCAGTGTCATTTCTTACAGAAACCAGGTTTTATTCTCAATGAATTCTAATTCCTGAGCCACCAAGGCAAAATGTGAATTCATGCTTTCTCAACAACAACTCAATGGGAATCTCATAGGTACAAAACCCTTAAGCGGAAATAAAAGATAAATTTGAAACAATAGTTTGATATGCCAGAAAAACATGTAAGAGATAGATCAGACATCAGAAGTTTTCTTTATTGGAGATGGCGATCAATAGCTGCACTATATTACCAAAGAAGAGTCGGGGGACTACAATACGACCCTTATTTAAAATACAAGTCAAATGTGATGATGGGCACATGGAACAATGAATGGCAGATGGAGTTTAAATTTAGATAAATGCGAGATGTTGTATTTTGGTAAGGCAAACCACAGCAGGACTTACAAGTTACTGGTAGGGCTGTGGGGAGTGTTGCTGAACAAAGAGATCGATAGGTGCAGAGTTCCTCAAAAGTGGAGTCACAGGTAGGCAAGGTGGTGAAGGCGATGTTTGGCATGCTTCCTTCATTGGTCAAGAACATTGAGTATAGGAACTGTGATGTCATGTTGCAGCTGTACAGTACATTGGTGAGGCCACTTTTAGAATACTGCGTAGAATTCTGGCCTCCCTTCTAGAGGAAGGATGTTGTTAAATTTGAGGGGGTGCAGAAAAGATTCACAAGGATATTACCGTGACTGGAGGGTTTGAGTTATAGGGAGAGGGTGAACAGGCTGGAACTTTTTCCCTTGGAGTGTCAGAGGCTGAGGGGCGACCTTATCAAGGTTTATAAAATCGTGAGGGGCATGGATCGGATAAATAGCTAAGGTCTTTTTCTTCATGTGGGAGAGTCCAAAACTAGAGGCATAGGTTTCAGGTGGGATAGGAAAGATTTAAAAAGGACTGGAGACGTAACTTCTTCACGCAGAGGATGATGTGTGTATGGAACAAGATGCCAGAGGAAGTGGTGGAAGTGGGTATAATTACAACGTTTGGAAGGCATATAGCTGGGTATTTGAATTGGAAGGGGAGCGGGATATGGGTCAAATGCTGGAAAATCGGACTGGGTAGGATTAGGATATCTGGTCGGTGAGAACGAGTTGGATTGGAGGGTCTGTTTCCGTACTGTATGACGCTATCGCTCTAGCTGTAATTCAGGAGGTGGAATGAAGAGAGGAACGTGGTGAAATTACAATCACCAGGTCAGTGGTACTGAGCAAAATGATGGAGCAACAGTGCGAACAATCCCGTGTCCTGAGAACTTTCTCCTAGAGTCTCAAGAGTTCACTAAAGGTGGAGTATTATGTTAGTGTTAAAATTTCCAAAACACACTAGATTATGGAAAAGTTCTAACAAGAAAAAGCAAATATAACCCTTTTACTGAAGGAGGAAGGAAGGCAGAGACCACAAAACAATAGGCCGGTTAGCTTGAAAATTGTCATGGGGAAGATGTTAGAATCAGTCCTTGAGATGGTGAGAACTGGGTAGTTAGAAACATTCATTCAACTTAATCAGGAAGACTCTGTTGTTTGAAGAGAAATCATGTTTAACAAATTCACTGGAGTTCTTTGAAAAAGAGGAACATTGTACTGTGGATTAGGGAAGCCTGGTGATGTACTGTACTTCGATTTCCAGAAGGCATTTGACAAGGTGCCACATAAAAGATTATTGTGCAATGTACAAGTAGAGTAGGAAGTAATATACCAGCATGGATTTAACATTGGCAGACTGACTGGCTGGCTGGCAGAATACAGAGAGAATGCATCAAAGGGTCATTTTCAGATTGGCAAATGTAACAAGTAGAGTCCTGCAGGGGTCTAAGTTAGCACCTTAGCTTTTTACAATTTGTATGAATTACTTAGATGAGAGTAACTAAATTTACACATGACGCCAAGATAGGCAGGAAAGTATATTGTTAAGAAGATATTATTAGGAAGTCGAAGATAGATATAAAAATATGCTGACTGGGTGGACAATATCTGGCAGATGGAGCATAATGGGGCAAACTGTGAAATTTTTCGTTCTTCCTGTCAATGTGAACAAAGGAGAGCATCACCTAGGTAGAGAACACAGGTTGCATTCTGAGATGCAGAGGAATCTTGATGTGATCAAGGAACGCCGCAGAAAGTTGAGATTCAGTTACAGCAAGTAATTAAGGTGGCTAATGGAATGCTAATCTTCATTAAGATAGGAATTGAACATAAAAGAACGATATGCTTCAGGTATACATATTATTGCTGAGACCGCATCTTGCATACTGTATACAGTTCTGATCTCCTTATTTGCATTGGCAGTGGTTCACAGGAGCTTTACTACACCAAGAATGAGTGCATTGTCGCTGAGGAAAGGTTGGACATACTGGCTTGTTTTCACTCAAGTTTAGAAGAGTGAGGAATGACTTTATTGAAGTATGTAAGATGCTGAATGGTCTTGGCAAGATGGATGTGAAAGAAGTGTTACGAAGCTGAGTAGAGTAATCATAAATTGAAAGGCAGGAAGCAAGAATTTGTTTGTAAAAATATGAAAAGGGAGAAGAGCACGTGGTTCCTTTAAGAGGTAAAGTGCTTTTCTAAGCTGAGAAATTTATACAGAATAAAAAAGTGTCTGTATGTAGCTGAAGATGTACAGCCAGTTCTGAAATTGAAATACATATCAATTGGCTGTGTGATTGGAAACCTTAGGCTTGTATTGATGTTTCAGTAATGAGCTGGAAACAGCCAATTAATTTAAACCAAGCACTAAGCAATTGGAAGCCAACTGAATTTAAATCTGATGGTTTTGACAACCATGGACCAATGCTACCATAAGAAAATTGACGTGTCACCCAAGGTATATATTTCAAGTCCAATATGACTCCTCTTCAGAACAGAAAAAATTCAGTTCTGAAGAAGAGTCATACAAGATGCAAAGTATTAACTAATTTCGTTTTGCCACAAATGCCAGATTTACTGGGTTTCTCCAGCGCTTTGTGTTTGTTTTTTAGCTTTCAGCATCTGTAGTATTTTGCTTTTAGGGAAAGCAAATGTTATTGGGAAGGAAATATTCTGTTCTTGGTTATCCTTGGCAGTGTGTCACTCAACCCCCATGAGTTGACTCAGAACAGCTCTCTATTTTGACCAGTGAAGCTTCCTTGAATGGCATTGGTATTGCTGTGCTTACTATACAGGGACACTTTGACCATGCTCTTCCCATAAGAGAGAACTTCTTACAGTCAACAAAATGTAAGATTCAGTCACTATTGAAGTGAAATTGAAAATACAGAACAAAAGTGGATAAACATTGATCTGTGATAACAAGGTATAAAGCTGGATGAACAAGCAGGCCAAGCAGCATCAGAGGAGTAGGAAGGCTGACGTTTTGGGTCGAGATCCTTCTTCTGAAGAAGGGTCTAGGCCCGAAACGTCAGCCTTCCTGCTCCTCTGATGCTGCTTGGCCTGCTGTGTGCATCCAGCTCTACACCTTGTTATCTCAGATTCTCCAGCATCTGCAGTTCCTACTATCTCTGAAACATTGATCTGTATTGACTTGGCATAAGCGTTAAGTATTGATGGAGACCAGTGGAGTATGGCAAGCGAGCTGTGAGCCATAATCTGTGAGATTGGATTTATGGTTGAAAAGGTAAAATTTATAGGGTTATGGGAAAAGTGCTGGTGGAGTGAGATGAATTGAAATAGGTTTTTCATATTGCACAGGCACAATGGCCCTGTGCTATATGATTCTATGATTCTTAACCTTTCAATTTCTTGTGTTACATGTACTCCGAAGTTATGGATTGGATAATTTTCTTCGTTGCTCTCAATTCAATTAATTCATGTTTTGTTTGGTTCAATGGTAAAATTTGTTTCTACTTAGGAATGCATGTATCACATTTGATCTGAGATGTTGTGGTATCATCATTATTATTGGTCAGTTAAAATGTAACTTCTGTTGCCCAAGAGCACACTGAACACTGTTGACTAGAAGTTTGTTTCGTGGACAGTGCTATATTTTCCGATCTCATTTGGTGCTATAGTGGGAAATTCATTCGGCCTCAGTATCCCTGAATTTTGAGAAAAGAAAAAGAAAAATAATGAGTTCCTGCTTGCAGTTGTTCCTCACTGATCACTGTTCAAGATATGTGTACATAAATACTGGTGAAATACAATGACTTTTGATTGCAGGGCCTGCTTGTGTGAAGAATTATCCAGGGCGAATGGCCACTTGGGTGACCATCTAGTCATTTGTGCTCATTGTGGAACTGTAATCCAATGTGAATTACTGCTTTAAGAAGCAGAGGTATAAGAGGAGCAACAATTCCAAAGCTGATTCATTTAGGAATTAACTTGGATATCATGTGAGATATCAGGACAATTACTTTAATCATGTCTTTGTTTTGTGTTGTTGTATTCACCTAGTATTTGGATAAGGTAGAAATGGAGATGAGAACTTGTGAGGAGCCTCGGCCTCCTAATGGACCGTCTCCTATAGCAACAGCTTCAGGTCAAAGGTAAGTCATTACCTTAAGGTAAGCCTTAAATGGTTCAGGAAAATTATTTACCCTTGCACCTCGGATACAGTATATTTACTTCCATTTATTCCGAATTGAGGTTTTTTTTTGTTTCACATTATATTTGAAGTTTAGATTTCAAGTTGAAATTTGTTACAAAGCAACACTGCTCATAATTTTATTTGTATTTAATTGATGATTATTGGTTTTCATACTTAGAAAAAGT